GAGCTGGAGCAGGGGAGGAGAAGGAAGCACATAGAAAATACAGGAAGATGTGGTTTCCTCCATGCATTTAAAAAGGCCACAGGACTCATGGTTGAGCTAACTTACCAGAGCACAGGAAATGGCCTCATCCAGCTGCACAGGCAGGAAGAAACTTGGGATCTTTCAGGATGGGATGAACCAGATCATTATTTGCCCTGTGGGTGGGTAAGCATCAGATCATCTATCCCATTTGCCGCCATAATGCCATAATTGATTAGCTGTATGTATGGATTCTGGGGCCAGCCCTGTGCCTTTACACAGAGCTGGTACCAGCAGCCCAAAGCCCAGTGGCACCTGCAGCCAACAACATGAACACTCCTGGTGCAGTGTACGCATCCTTACCCACTGGGGCCAGGCAGCATGGCCAAATGCCCCTGGGGTTTAAGAGATTTTAGTGCAAACCTCTGTGCAGGGGAAGGACAAGACTGGGCACCATATAAATGACCCTGTGGGGTGTGCAGCCCTCCTGTGAGTGCTCATTGCACAGTGGAACATCTGGGCTGCACACACACCTGCAGTCTGACCTATTTCTCATCCCCCGCAGCTGCACGGGTCTGGCAGCGTCACCACAGAGCTCATTTACCAGAGGGGTTTTGCTCTGGAAGTTAATCAATGCAGAACTAACTGCACCATCAATATTGATCAGGCTGTGGAGGCTTTGGCATTACAGCTCTGCAATATCCTGCTCCTTCCAGGTTGCTTTGCAGGAGCCTCTGTGCATGTTAATGACTGAACCCACGTGGCCTGGCAGGTTCACAGAGGAGCCCAGCAGGGCACAGTAAAGGCCTAGGCTAAAATGCTTCATAGGAATTTTAATGTTTTTCTTAGATGCTAAAAACATGGAGCAATACAACTCACAGGTCAGCAGTTCCTGCCACGAGCCCAACAGCATATTTGACAGCTTTAAAGATGCTATGGGCTGTGCATTTGTGAAAGCCTGCTTGACCCAGGGGGCCATTAGCAAGCTCTGTAAGCAGACCAGCCACTCCCTGTGACTGAAAGTAAGTGCATTTAGTGACCTGGACTGACCTATCACACTTTCAGTCTCTGGTACCTTCTAATGTTGTGAAAGAATTCAGTCACATAAACCTTTTATCACTTTCTAGCTAATAAATATCTCTTTGCTGGTGCTGCTGCTCAGAATCTGACTCAATGTGGCCAGATAAGACCTACTCTTGTGCATATGAAGGGAGCCTGAGAATAAAATAAAACTGGTTCCACCTTTTCGTGTCATTTATTCCTTGAGAACAGAAGGAGGTATTTGTGCCTGCCATTTTCAGTGCAGTCACCCTTCAGGGTAAGATGCAGCTCATCTTCAGGATTGTATTTATATTGTGGCTGCACTAAAGTAGATTAACAAGAGATTGTTACATGTGGCTTTGGAAAGATTAAGGTAGCTTTTGTGATGCTTGGTGGCTGCTTATGATTGTACAAAGAACTTCCCAGAGTCTACAAATAGCTGGACTAACACAATTTACACACCCTTGGGGTTTGGCAGATCCTCTTTATTGTGTAAACACCCATCAGGAGCTTTGTGGATCATTTCCTCCAATGTCAGTACCTAAGTGTTGCATAATCCCCTTTTAAGCATGTAAGAAGACAAGCAGATTTTAGTCCAGATTTTTCATTATTTTAGGCTTGTCTTTTATCTAGCACACACCTCAGGGAACTTCTGTCCTGAGGGTGAAAGGTGAGAGCAAGTTCAGCAAAGTTAAGCCCCTTATTCTGTCACCATGTGGTGCTGGATGAAAGTGCTCACAGCTGGGGTCCAGAGCATCTGGGGAGAGCCAGGCTGGAAAAGCTGCTCTGAACAGGTCCTGAGCCTCTTGTGGCAGCCCATGGAACGAGATCCTGGCTCCTCACTGAGCCTAAGGCTGTTTGCACCACGGGTGGTGATGAGGAAGTTGGACATCAGCCAGTAAAGGCTTGAACAGTGTAGAATATTTGAGGGTAGAAGTGGGGATGTATGGAAGGCCTTAAGTGCCAACTTACAGAGTTGATTTGGTTTGTAATTGCTCAGCACATCATTCTACACCTGAAGGAATGCAGGCAGGATTCTTTTAACACCCACAGAAGGAAGTTCTTCAAGGTAGGGAGTGAGTCATGCCTCCCTCCATGGGGGCTAAGATACACTGGGGGCTTGCTTAGGATATTTTCAGTCTAGCTTCCCCCAAACCACACAATTGCTCCCACTGAGTCTGTACTAAGTAGAATTTGAGCCACTGAACAGCTGAAGGATTTATCTAACAGGAAAACTATTGCAGGATTAAAAGTCTAGGCTGGCTGTGATTGATGTGTTTTAACAATTACTACATCTTGTCAGCCTCACTGTGCAGCACCATTCCTGTAATTAATGGGCAAGGACTTTCTAATTCTCCTCAGTGCAGCTCAAGTGTTGCCAAGGCACTCAAGATGTCCATAAAATATTGCCAAAGGAGCTGGAATGGGGCTGCCAGGGCCAGCTCTGTCCCCAGCTTGGTGCTGAAGCCTGAGATCACATCTGATGCCCCAGCAGTGATGCACCACCCACTGCTGAGCTCCCAGGGAGCCCTTCAGGGCCTCACACTTGGCTCAGGATCAGGCATGACTCCTGCTGGGGTGGCACCTTGGTGACATGGCCACCCTTCACCTTCACTGTGCCCCACAGGTGTGCCCACACCCCAAAGTTTCTGTGCCTGCTGCCATGCTGTGCCTGGAGGGGAATATTTCCCATCTGGCAGCATAAATGGGATTTTCTCTTCAGGATTCCTGCTTCCCACAGGTCCCCCCACCACAGTGAAGGAACAGGGGAGCAGAGGAGTGGCAGTGACACAGACTCAGAGCTGCTCCATTTGGTGTGAAGGCCAGCTGGGTATTTCTGACCCTCTGACAAGGTTTTAAATCTGGTTTTCAAGCCTAGCACGTCTGTTTTGTAATATGCTTCAGACATCAGTTCCTGAATGTGGATGAGTCACTCGCTGTCTCTTTGCAGACAACAGTGACACAGCTCTGGGCACCACTGCCAGGCAAACATTTTTAACATTTTTAATATTTTCAAGCTGTGTGGCGTTCTGAGAGATGTTTACTTCACCACATCTCTGTCATCTTTTGATGTTAACACCTGTGTCAGAGTGATTTCATGGAAGCTGTCCTGGGATATGAAAGGGAATCCACGGTGCAGTGTAAGATATGCTCTTCTTATGTGGCAGAGATAATTCTGTGGTGCTTCATGCTGGAGGATTTCATTCATTAGTTCTCTAAGCCAGCCTAAGGCACCTGGACTACAAATACTCCAAAAGTAGGTGCCTAATGTCACCATATTAGAATCATTCTGAAAAATCAGATTTTCATGATACCTAAGCAGTATTATCACTGACAGTGGGTATTGAAGTGTTCTGTACAACAACATAACCATGTCCCATGCAATCATAGAATGGTTTGGTTGGAAGGGACCTTAAATATTATCTAGTTCCACCCCTCTGTTATGGGCAGGGACACATTCCACCGGACCAGATTGCTCCAGATCCCATCCAGCCTGTGCCAGGGCCTCTCCACCCTCACAGGGAAAGATTTTTCTCTAACATATAATCTAAACTGACAATCTCTTAGTTTGAAGCCATTTCTCTCGTCCTGTCACTCCAGGCCCTTGTAAATTGTCTCTCTCCATCTTTCTTGCCAGCTCCCTTCAGGCCCTGCAAGGCCACCCTGAGCTCCCCCCAAAGCTTCTCCTGTGCAGGTGAACAATGGCAGCTGTGCCAGCCTTTCCTGCCAGCAGAGCTGCTCCATCCCTGGGATCATCCTGGAGCCTCCTCTGGCCCGGCCCCAGCAGCTCCAGCTCCTGCTGTGCTGGGGCAGCTCTGCAGGTGGGACAGAATCCCCTCCCTTGGTGGCCACACCTTGGGATGAGGCCAGGACAGGTTTGTCTCTGTAAATGCTTGGATGCCCACACCTCCCACCCTGCAAAGGCAGAGCAGTGACACTGGATCCTGCAGGGATCCCTCTGGGGATCCACAGAGGGCAGAATGAACCCAGGAGAGTAAAGCACAGCATCCCCATATCCAGAGCTAATGGGAAATTAATGTATATGCCATCAATATTGGTTCCATAGCATGCTGGTTAAAGCTGCGCAAGGTCAGTCCAATGTGCTAAAGCATTTATTTTGTCAGAGCTGTGCTCTGCATTCGCTGTCTGATCAGTTTTGGTGCAGCCAAGCCACCCGGGCATGTGTGAGCCTAATTCTGATTCCAGCCACCACAGGAAGCCCTTCCCATCCAGAATTTATCATTGCTGCGCTTGGAGCCCTCAGCTCTGATTTCCAGAGCAGATATTTGCTTCATGCAGGTTCAGCTGTGTGTGACACCAAAACATTGTCAGCTGTTCACTCTTTTCTCCTTCAGAGACGTGTAAAGGAACAAACCAAAGAAGTTCAGGGTACACTCACTTACCAAAGCCAAACTTTTGAACAAAATTTGATATTTCTGCATATTTACAGGAGCCTTAACAGAACACAGGGCTCTTGGCTCTGTCTTAAAAAGGTGTTTGTGTCAAGGAACAGTCAGTAGTTTCTAAACAATCAAATAACAGCAAAACTGAGGACCCTGGTCATTCTTTAGGACTCAAATGAGGAAAATGTCTCAGCTCCTTCCTTAATATTTGTCTTACACAAGATCCACAAAACTGCTGCTAGGGGAGAATTGGATTTGGAAGGAAAATTGTACCTGGTTTATTTTACCCAGTTGTTGACACAAGCAGGTCTTGAATGAGTGAAGTAGAAGCAGAAATGAAAGGAGATTCTAAAAGGTATCAAAACTATCTGCAATTAATTTCATGACTGGTCTTCATACATGAAATTTGGGAAAGGCATTTTGTGCTCTGTGTTCTTCCCCTGATGTGAGATAATTGGAAAATTTTTAATCAGATCCCCTCATATGATGAGCAATGACCCATGGACTGAGCAGAAAAAAACTGCACAAGACCAAGTCTTAGAAGCCTAATGTAAAATGAGATTTTTTTTAATGACAGGATGTAATTAATATACAACATAGCTCAGTTTTATTGTTATAAAAGCCCAGTAGTTTTCATTACTGATCTTGTATGCATAGAAACCAGACTTCCAAAGACAATATGCTCACAGAGGGTATATATGGATTCTGAAAGACATAAATTGTTCAAGTGGTAAAAAGCCCCAAAACTGTAATTTCCTTGTTAGCAAACTCTGCAGTGTATTTTGTCGTGCTCATTTCATTGTCAGCAGGAGGATTAAAATTTTTTTTTTTCTTAATTTGTGCTGTTATTGGCCACCTCTGGTTCTCAATTTCCATTGTTGTGTGGTGTCAGAACAGTAACCCCAGAACTGTGGTGGAATGTGCAGATCCTGCCCCCATCTACCCCTGGTCCTCCAAACATTTTTCTTGCCAGGGTTTCTCCTCCTGGACACCCAAAATCAAGGATGCCAATGGTATCGTTTGCACATTAGTTATGAAACAGCCAAATTTCACTGTAGACATCTCAGCATTCCAGTTGTCCCAGAGGGTCCAAATATGGAAAAATCTTTATAAATTCTGGTGAGGTGCCTATTCAGTATTCAGACAACACAGTGATTGTGTGGGATGTATATCCTCCTAGTGCATCCCAGCCTCTTTTCAAACAATTCCAGCAAGAGCTTCTCCTCTCCTCTGAGAGGTTTTTCTCTGTTCTATCAGCTCTCCAGACTGGAATGATTATCATCATTGATAATCATGCTGGAATGATTATCTTCAGATTATGTTTTGTCCTTCCAGGCACTCAAGCATACAGTCCCCCTGCAGTAAGCACCTGCAATAAAGGCAGGATTGGTAAATGTAATATTGTGTTAAAACCAGAAAATTTGAGACATGCTGCAGCTCTTGGTTCATTTTAATAGATGCAAGCCTCGGAAAACCAGCTGTGTATGGCCACTGATGAAAAATGAATGAGTCAGACTGGCTTGCATAGGGGAAAATGCAAGCACTCAAAAGAAAAACCAATATTCAATTAAAATCTAAAAATAATCAAGTGTAGAAGATTCCTGTAAGAATTAAATCTTTGTACTGAATTTTTGCCAGAGGCATTGAGAGCGCTATTTTATGATGACTACATAACAACAGTATTCTTCTGTGTGTTTAAGCTACCACTGTAACTACAGTTGATGAACGTTTTGGGAGCTGTTGGATTAGTCACCAAATAAAAATAAACACCTAAATGTACTTGCATAGCACATTTGCATAAAAGAACAGTTCCCTCCCCAAAGCTTAAGATTTTTTTCCTCTTTTCTAGCCTTTAAAAGTGAATCCAGGATTCTCTTTCTCAAGTAGCACCTTTTTATTGCCAGTAAAACAAGACTGGTAACAAAAGAAGACTCTAAATAGACCACATGAGGCCATTGGTGGTTCATGCTTTGAGATATGAATTCTTTTATTAGAGCTTTGCTGTGATGTTTTAAGATTTGCTGCAGGTTCTTAAAAATAAATAGGAATTGTTCTGTTCTGAACTGTCAGCAGTTTGGAAACTTAAAACATCCAGGACATGTCTCAAGAAATCCAGTTGTTCTCTTTGATCCTAGATTAAAGGGCCTTTGGAAATTTCAGAGCTATGTAGTTTCTTACACAGTTCCAATTAACACGACACTTGAGCTTTATTCTGTGAATGTACAATAATGTAGAAAGCTCCTTGGAATTCCCTCATCAGCCATATTCTATTTAAAAATACATGTATTGGTTTTAAATCAACATCCTCAACCACATTCAATACTCCATTTATACCCTTAGGTTTAGTAATTCACAGAACTTCAGCTTCACAGATTCTTACCAATAAATCCCAAAATGCATGCATGGCTTGGTTTAAGAAAGATATTTTACTTGTGTTTCATACACAAAAAAAACTGATAATCAACAGTGGCTTAAAAAATTAACACTACTCCACTTTTCCACAAGTGTACAAAAAAGAAATAATGAATTTACATTCAACGGTAAAGCTTAAAGTCCACTCTAATAATAGTTGCATTGACATTCACATACACAAGCACAGAATAAATATTTCAGGATTCTTATAAGAGCATACAGCATACATACAGTACTTGAATTTTACATAAGGAGTGTTAGTAGGGTCAGGAATTCATAATCTCATAGAAAAGTAAAACTAAAATCAGAAAAGGTCGTGTGGGAGGTCACACCAAGGTACTGCACAGAGCTAGCAGGTTAGTAGTAAATCCATCTGTGTGAGGAGTTTGCTTCTGCTTCTTCATATTAGGACAGTTTGTTTGCAAAGGTGTATTCAAAGTGCAGAATAATGCAAAAAAAAAAGAAAGAGAAGATATTCTTGTATTTATTAATACATGCAAGAGGCAGCCCCCAAGTCACCCGACAGAATAAAACTGTGATTGGCAAGTGGCCGATATAATACAGATGTTTCAGGCAATTTTTCTAAAGCACTTTAATAGCAGCAATTGTAATTTATAATGGCTCTAGATTTACTTCTGTTTGGGTTAAAGGGCATCATATTTCTTTAACATTTACAGCTATATTTCTTTATAAATAAATATCTCAAATAACAAATAGCATAGTTAATGTTACTTTTTTTCTCTCTTTTGCATAAGTGTCGTGGAAAAACTCTGACCTTTTCAGAGACATAATGTGCAAAATAATGTGGAAATAGGGAGACACAGCATCACAGTTACATTCCTGGGATATCAGCCCAGCCCTTGTTACTCTCTGAGGGCTAGCCTTACCAGGGCAATGCAGGGCTTTAAGGGACAATTTTTCCAATGGCTTGCTTGGTAAAGAGATAGAATTTATGGTGTCTTAAAGAGCTGTAAATGTGAGGTTTCATTTGAAGCAGTGTGTACAATACGTCATGTATAGGAGTCAGTATTTCCACACACTGACTTCTCAGGATTTGATAAGTCTGCTCATCTCTCTTTCAGACATTTCTCCCCAGCCTGAACATCTTTGAACATTTATGTTCATTAGGTGTTTCCTCTGTTGCATATTTACCAGCTCTTCTTGCATTTTATAATCTGATCTCATATCACCTAGCTGACATCTGCACACAAATATTTCCAATCAGATAGAGGGTGCACAACATTAAAACTTTTAAACCTGTCCTGTAAGTGTCATCAAGACAGGAGCACAGGAACCACAGTGCAGAGTCCAACCTCTCACTGGCTGTACTGTGAAGATTCTCCTTTTCGGCGTAGGAGAAAGGAAACTTGTGTCTGCTTTTTAGATTCTGAAAACAAGCCAGAGTGGAGAAAAAGAGTTAACACCAGACTTAATAAAGCTTTTAAGACAAAACCTGTTAAGCAATTTAGACAGACACTGAATTTCCTGCTGATTTTCTCAAGTCTGTACATACAGGAAATTTGTTAACAATAGGAAGAAGTTGGGATTTGCTACATAGGAGAAATCTGCCATTATTACAAAAACTGGCTAAGAGGGTTTTTTCAGTATAACTCCCTCACTGGTCACTGTTCTCAGTGGTGCTGTTGCCCTTTTCTTTTTTCTCCTGAGTCTTGTTCCCCTTCTTCTTTTTCTTCTTTTTCTTGGTCTCTTCTTTCTTGCCAAAGGTTATGAAGTCACTTTTGTCAATTTGGCTGTTGGGTGGCTCCTGCCGGATGGAGATGATTGCAGGAGATCCTGGGATAATGAATTTGTCTGGCAACTCACCAGGACCACCTTGTTTGGAATTGCCCGGTCCGAATTTAAAGGTCCAGCTGTTGCTGTTCACACCAGCTCCCACTGGGGGGGACACCTCTCCCGCCTCAGGTTCTGAAAAAGTCAAAACAGCAAGAAAAGCTTAAAGCATCTTTAAATACAGGCACTCAGTGAACAGCAGCTTTCTGTTTGAAAGGCTTCAGCCTACAGAGACTCTCATTTCCTGGCTGCTCATCTGGGGTTAGCCATTGGTTCTTGTCCAGTCTGCTCAGTGTTTGCATGCACTGACCCCCTCCTCATGCTCTTGGGTGCAACAGGCTCTGGATCCCATTTTGTTCTTTTGGATTTGAAGTGTTTGGAGTAAGAGATCACTGTGATGCAGCCCATTGTAGTGTTTTACAGCAGGAAACACAGGCATGTGCATTGCATAGCAAAAGGGTGTGTTTGAGGGTGTTGAGCCTTTTGGGACAGGGTTAGAAGGGTGGCCAGGGCAGGGAGTGACAGCCTTGGCATTCTGCACATCCAGGTGGGTATTTTAGCAAACCATCCTGTGATGGATGTGTCCAGGAACCCTCGTGCAGGGAAAGAAGGGAGAGTGTCAAGAGGCTGGAATGGAGCCAGGCTCGGCTCGGTGGTGCTGAGCAGCAGGACAAGAGGGGACAGGAATGGATCAGGACAAGAGGGGACAGGAATGGATCAGGACAAGAGGGGACAGGAATGGATGCCCAGGAAGTTCCACCCGAACACGAGGAAGAACTTTCCTGTGCAGTGACTGAGCACTGAACTGATTGCCCAGAGAGGTTGTGGGGTTCCCCTCACTGGAGATATTCCAGAACCATCTGGAAGCAATCCTGTGCCGTGAGCTCTGCTTGAACAAGGAGGCTGGACCAGATGAGCTGCTGTGGTCCCTTCCAAGCTGACCCACTGTGTGACCCTGAGCTGGTGCATCCCAGAGAGGAACCTGAGGCCAGACAGCATGTGTGTTTGTGTGTAGGTATGGATGCAGTGTGGCTGAACAGCAGACACAGAGCAAAAGCAGAATAAACTGAACTGCCTGGGCAGAGATACTGCAGGATTGCTTCCATCAGGGTGTGCACAGTCTGGTCTCAGAAATATTCATGGTCTTCAGAGAATCAGAGAATACCCTGATATTCTCTCTAAATCACAGTATTTTATACAGGCAAATATAAAGTGAAGTTCTATCCCCAGTTTTAGGCTTGCAGGATGAAGTCAGTTTTAATTTTGTTTCCATTATTTTGATTAGATTGAGTTAATCAGATTGAAATGTTTGCGTATGTTGCTCTGACAAGGATGAATTTCTAGCAAAATAAAATGCTACAGAATTAGGTTTTCCTGTGAGAGAAAGCCTTAAGACTTGGTTGTTTTCTTTCCTTTTATACTCTGAACATTTGTTGTAATTTACATAACTGCCAATTTTGAATAGGAACAGCATATCTATTTTAATGTATCATGGTAAGTGTTTTAACAACTGTGATGAGGGGGAAACTCAGTGTTTATGCTCTGATGCTAAAGCCCTCAAATCAGATGAAAACTTTCTAAAAGTTCAGTAACAAAACATGGGACTCTCACCCTTGTAACACTCCTAGCCACACACAAACCCACAACACCACACAAACAATTCCAACACCACTGATCTGATTAAATCTCAGCATCATGTATCAGAGCTGTCCAGCTGAAGAGGCAAAGGGGTTTGGGGTAAAGAAGGAGGGGGAACTGTGTTGGAAAACCATTTCAGAGGGATTCCATGTCCCTTGGAAGAGGAGATGAGGACACTGGATGGGGGAGAAGAAACTGACAAGTCCAAGGTCTCCTGCAGGTTAAAGAGGGCAGGAAGAGAAAACAAAGCAGACATTCTAGAGGGAGATCCCCAATGTTCTGCCAACAAACACCTGGTACTGGCTGCTCTGTACCACTGCAGCTGTAGTGAAGAGTGCTGTATTAACTTCAGCAGCTCCTGTATTTCTTAGTCTTTAACAATTCTTCATCTTCTCTTATGTTGTTTGTACAATTTTCTGTTTTATGAAATAAATGGTGTGGTGGCACATGCAGACATAGGGCTCTGCTTTTAGGTTCAAAAGCTGAAAAGACATATTTTGCTGCCTGACAACCTTTCTCCTGCCCGGCAGCAAAACAAGGCTGGGAAGCAGGATTCCTTTTTTAAGCTATTCTGTAGTGATGCAGCAGGGCCATGTTAAAAAGCCCAAGAAATGTGTTTACAAAACACATCAGAACCATCTCTGAACCCATCAGTGTTAGAGGTTTTGGCACATGAAATCTTCGGCATCTCTGAAGCTCCATGGCACATGGACATGACATGACTGCTTTTACAATGTGATATTTAATCAAGAACTAGAAGACACTGTAGACTTCTTTCCCTCCTAATATTTTATTTAATGATGAAGGAGCTTTGACTTTGTGCTCTTTCCAGGAGCTGCTGATGTTGTTTTAGTGACCTGAACATCTCAAGTCTCAAATAGCTTTTCTGAAGTTATTATTAATGTAAGAGCTCCTCCATTTTATCAGTTGTAGCTTTTCTGTACATTTCCTATGGTCCTAAGTATCAGCTTCAGATTTTTTACATGTTTCCTATAAGTAACAACAATGTCCTAGAAAGTCCTTTCATAATAAATGCATTAATACGAACCAGCTTTCATTTCTGCTTAATAAATTGTTTTGTTCAGGTACCTTTCATATCACTTTTGTTTCTCTGAGATGACAAATTACAAAGGTGGAAAATGTGTGTCTTGGCCTTTTTCCAAATTATTAATCAATTGCCTTTCTGCTGCAATACAAAAATGTGAGCTTTCCTATTGCACACAATAAATTAAGCCCTATTTGACAAATAAATCCTCTGTCCCAGCAAACCCCCACAATATGCATTCCAAACACTGGCCCAGACCCAATGCTCTTTTTCTGTTCCTGGCAGGAAAAAGACAGCTGAAGGTGACCTCAAATCGTTGGACCCATCCTTGCCCTGGCTGGGGAGAACCCTGTCGCAAAGAATAGTAGAAAAATTCCTTTGAATAGTAGAGGGTGAGAACTCTGTGGGCTGCAGGGCGACCACAGCACAGCTGGAGCTGCAATGCATGGCTGGGCCACCTTGGTGTGAGCACAGAGACATAAAATGAGAAACAAAACACCTTTTATGAGAAACATAAAATGATAGAATGGCCTGTGTTGGAAGGGACCCCAAATTTCACACAGTTCCAACCCCCTGGCATGGGCAGCGACACCTTCCTCTAGGCCAGGTGGCTCCAAGTCCTGTCCAACCTGGCTTTAAACACTCCAGGGATGGGGCAGCCACAGCTTCTCTGGGCAGCCTGAGCCAGGGCCTCACCATGCTTACCTTGTATTCTTCCTAATAACTGATCTAAACCTTCCCTCTGTGGGTTTGAAACCATTCCCCTTGTCCTGTCACTCCAGGCCCTTCCAAATAGTCTCTCTCCATCTTGAGCACTCCCCCCAGGTAGTGGGAGAGGCAGTAAGGTCACCCTGAAGTGTAGGAATGTGCCCGCTGTTGATGGAGTGACCAAATTATCCTTTGTCTCCTTAAAAAGGAAAAAAGCCCAGAAGTTTCTCACCTCAATTTGGTAAAAAGACATCTCATAAAACCTTTAAGACTTCACCTCAAACCTAAAGCTACCCAATTAGACAGAAGCAAAAAAGTCCCACGTAAATAATTCACCAGAAAAAGAAGAGAACAAAGGAAATAATCACTTTTGTGGAGTGTTTTAGTAAGAGCAAGAATCTCTTGTCCCAAGCTCAAGTTTTCTCAACAAGAATTTTGTTATTTTGCCTTTTATTAAAACTTCTCTGTTTCTAATACTACCTCAGAAGTCATCCTGCTAATTTTATACCATTTGAAGTAGCTAGGCTATCTCAGGTATGATGGATTCTTGAAGAGCTCATAAGACCAAGCCCAAAGAGAAAACTGATCACTGAAGCTTCTTTTCTGCAGGCTGAGCAATCCCAATTCCCTCAGCCTTTCCTGGACAGGTGCTCCAGTCCTCTGATCAACTTTTGAGGCTGAACACAGGCCATGGGACAATGACAGTGACTTGATGTTATCCATTTGACCACACAAATACAGCAACGTGCAAGAATCCAGGGTATCCCTGAGGCAAAGAATCTCCTGTATGAAACCTCTTGCCAGGCTAATGGGGTGCACATCCACATCTGCACTACTGAAATCTAATTCAGAGCAGGAAAACAACCCTTTAATCTGGTTCTGACTTGGCAAATCAGCTCACTGATGAAGTCAGTAACATTTGCCACAAAAACATCTGACTTCATGCATCCAAACACAACAAACCCACCCCACCTACCCTGGAATCAGGATTCTCTCAGTCTGTGGGAGTTTGCTTGCACCTATGTCTGGTTTTGTCCCAGCCCCTGAATATGTTTGTTGTCCATATGAACTAAGCATTTTAATACTCCTTAATACTCACTAAACCAAAGGAAACTAATTATCCTTACATCTGTGTGGAGAGCTTGCATACAAAGAGGCAAAGACACAGAGAATCTAATGAGTTAATAACCATAATTTCCTACAAGTGGGGCTTCTCCAGTCCTCAGGAAATGTCTCTTCTGCATGATTTACCTGAGAACATGTGTGTTTATCTGTATTGGCAGGCTGGAAGGTCACAGTTCAGCTGCACTGACAAAGTCGTATGTTGAGGCATTTCAGATCAAGGATAAATGTCATTTACTACCTAGATTCCAAGGCTTCCTTAAATATCTCTTCTGTCTCTTATCAGCAGGGATTCAACAACAAAAGCTTTCTCCTTATGTGTCATTTTACATTTAATGGGATTAGTTGTACTTCTTTTGCATATTTTCTGCATCTTTAATTGAGTACTTCAAATTTGTTTATTAAACTTAGAGGAAAATCTAAATAAAACAAACCCCCTGGTTATATTTATAACACTTAATTTAAAACATTACACTTCTTTTCTTCCTACAGCTAGAGAGGGGGGTTGTCAGAGTTCATACATAAAAGCCCAGTCTGGTCATTTCCTGGGGTAATTTTTGGGATTACTTTGAACCTTTTCTTTTATTCTCAAGGAATACTTTAGACTTCATGTTCAATGACC